GGATTAATGTCGCGGTGTCACCTAAATCAATTGTGCATAGCCCCCACCCCAAAAAAAAAAATCATTTTTATTTAGTGTTCACACTTGACACTCCCTCACATTTCATATATCACCTTTCCCTTTTCTTCCAATTCATAAACAGCACACATCTTATAATAAACTATGGCCTCATCAAAGCTTCACAACCTACTCTCTTCACTTATTTTTCTATTCACCGTTCTTGATTATCCGGCCAAAACGACGCCGCAGGAGTGCCCTTATCCCTGTTATCCCCCGCCGACCGGCCCCGGCGGGAACAACCCGCCGGTGACAACAACGCCGCCGGTTTCCACCACCCCTCCTGCAGTTTTCACTACACCACCTTCAGTATTCATCCCGCTCACACCTCCACCGCCTTACTCTTTTGGAGCGGCGCCGCCGCCGCCTGATCAAACGGTGCCTTGGTTTCCGTATTTCTACCAGAAACCGCCCCATCAATTAGACCAGTCTTTTTCGTCGCCTGCTCTCAAAGGGTCAGGCAATATTATTGTCATTTTATTTCCTCTTATTTTTGCTCTGTCCTATGTTTTCTATTATTAGTAGTACGCATATCTTCAATTTTCATGTAATTAAATTATATAGTTATGTGTGTGACAATTGAGATGGGAATTATTGTAGGTTATTTCATTTAATTTGTGCTAATGTAATGATTAAAAGGAGGTTATTTCCTTAAGAATAATTTGCAAATTTAATGAACTTTTCTTTCTCTCAGGTCCCTCTTTCTACGCAGTTGAACCTCGATAAATTAATAATTTCACTTAAATAATAATATTTCTCGATCGCGACTCGTAGCAAACGTATTAAATTATTTGTTCGGTATCGTGTTAGAACTTAAAAATATTCTTTGATAGATTGGATTTTTTTTATATTTTTTATTTGGGTATAAATATCCTGCCTACATAATCACATCATCAAATTGGACGGCTGTTTGTATTCAAATTGAATACTAATTTGTTATGTGAAGGTGGACCTTGTACTAATGTGTCTAGCTCATGCGTGGTCCAATATTATGGCTTAACCGACCTAAGTGGTGCTTGTAAAAACTTTTACAAATAGATTATAATGTTTTTTTTTTTGCTCATAATCTATTTTTAAGTGTTTGTAAACTATTCTTTTGTTTTCCCTTTTGCTTTTCTTAAAATAAGTAATTATATAATTTGTTAAGCCCTCATGGCCATGACCATGCTTTTTCTATTTATGTTTATTTTTCGGTAAATTTGTAAATATCCCCAACATTTATAAAGCACTTAAACCAGCTAAGGGCCTATTTTGCTAAGCTTATTTTAGATAGTTGATAAGTTTTTACGTCTGATAAGATATTTTAAGAGCTGATAAGTTGTTACATCTTGTTTTTAGAATTAATTTTTAAAGTGTTTGGATAATGAGCGTATATCCTATTTTTACTCATTATAATATCTTAAATAAAAATGTGGGATAGATGTATTTTTTTTTAATATCTTATTTGCTCTCCAACATCTAATTTAAGAAAATAAGATTTTTTTTTTTTTTTAATTTACCAAACACTTTGGAAGAGCTTATAAACTCTTAAGCATCTTATAAGCTCTTTTTAACATTTTATAGGCTCAGCCAAACACCCTCTTAAGTCACAATCTATTACAAATATTAAAGCATCAAGTTTTAATCGTATAAATTTTGTTCTTATACTGATAAACATAATAATGTAATCCAACTGAGAGTGAAGTTTACCTGTCTATATATAAAACTATGGAGTTCTTGTCAAAAGTAAAAATAAATAAATATATAGATATAGTTTATTACCACCATGTTCTCCGACAACAAAAGGGAAAGCCTATCAGAAAAAAAGGAAGAAAGGCGAAGCGACCTCCCACCATGAGTGATAGCGATTAGTACATCGAATCTCTTGAAAAAGTGTTAAACAATTAGAGAAAATGAGTCACCCCATGAGTGTTTAGAGATATGTAATCTAGTTTAATAAACTTTTACACTAAAAAGAAAAGATAAAATTACTTATATATAATCTCAGTAGGCATTACCCCTAGCATTTTCACCTTGCGATGCACCGAGATAGTATTTAAAAAATGAAAACAATAATTAGTTTAATAGAGGACAATAACAGTTATAATAAAATTTATTAGTGATATCAGCAACAACATCAATAATTTACACAAATTTAATAATACATATTCAATCTGAAATAAATATATAAACTTAATTATCATAATATGAAATTGATCATTGAATACATAAAGCAAAGAAGAATTAGAGGAAATAGGCTGGAAAATATGAAATAAATATAATAATAACAATTAAGAAGATATAGATGTAGTTGATTAGGATTGCCCCAACATTTTTGTTTATATATATAATGCGGATAAATAATTTATTGACTTTTGTATTATGTTCTATAATTTTTAACAATTTAGTTTTATATAAAAAAATTAAAATTTAAGTGCTTTTAATTGGTAAAAACAAAGAAAAACAATAAATAAATCGAACAAGTAGGATAAGGAACTTAAAAATTATGAATGGTGGACTCAATCCCATATTAAGTCCATCAAAATTGTGTTATTTAGTCCACAGAAAATTCAAATTAATGCAAAAAAGAGTCATAATTTTTTTCTCTCTTCTAGTTTTGTTAAAAAAAATCCTATTTTTTTTTTTTTTCAGGGGTGTTGCATTCGAACCCCTGAAATTTAAGTCCACCATGTAACAATATCCTAGGTTCGCCACTTTTGGAACAATCGTTGTTAACATAAATTTATTTATGTTACTTTTTAGGGTAAATTACGGCCACCCTCAGAGGTAAGGTCAAATTACGAAAAACCTCCTATTTGGGTAATTATAATCACCTCCTCGACTATGAATCTTCTTACACGTTTACTCTCACAGTGTCAAATTTAATGGAATCTTCTAGATTATGTGGAATATTCTCCAGTTGTACCCATTTTACCTCATTCAAGCTCCGCATTTTGACAAGATGATCATAAGATGTGTCTCTTGGCTTGTAAATATCAGATTCTGGTGCATCAGAAACTGCATTTTTTGCACAAAAAATTACGAACTAGAGAACATTCTATGGAATCTAGAAGATGGTGTTGAATTTGACACCATAAGGTGGACGTGTAAGACGATTCATAGTTACAGGGGTTGGTTGTAATTACTCAATCATGAGGGATTTTTTTCCGTAATTTACCCTATTCGACCCCCCTGAGTGATGAAATTCTGGCTTCGCTACTGTATAATGTATTATCTTCCTTCTTATTTATTTATTTATTTTACTTTTTTTTTTTTTTTTTATCAAATCTTCCTTGTTGTATATACCAAACAAAATGTAGGGGCTCTCCCTTGTTTTGTCCTCTAGTTTTATTTATTTGAAAGAGGATGAAAGATCAATTTTGCCGACACGAAAAGGAAAGTCTAACAACTTATATGTATTTCCCCACAAATGGGCACTTTAAATAGCATACTCTTAAAAACTTAGTTGAATAATTGAACCGGCTATATACAGTACCATGAAGATCATGAACCTATTCGATACCTAAGTCCACATTTATTAAGAATTATGTGGTTTAAAACAGTTAAATAAATTGATCCTCTTTATTAATCGTGGGGTCGATTCGGCACATGGGTCGAATTTCATTATCGGTTTTTTTTTCTTCTTCATTTATCTAGGCCTTGTTGAACGAGCATTCTGCTTAAATTGATTAGATTTTTCGTCAATGTTTTATACGCTAAAGAGACCCCGCCTAGAGGTCTGTTCAGAAGCAATTCGGTATCGGAAGATAATCGATCGACTTGTTCCAGTTAAACTTAAACCCTAGTCGTTTAATTACGTATGTTGCAAGTATTTTATTTATTATAGTTACCAATAGACTGTTTGTGAAGGAATCTTGGACGTGCGAAATGGTGCACAACCATTTATGTCCTAAATCTAAAATATAGAATCACATCATATTTCTATATATTGAAACTTTTTTCTTAACCTTTTAATATCAAACATATAATGTTTAATATCAATTACGATCATATAATTAAATACCTTTTAAATTTCTAAAATAGACCAATATTAATTTGAATTGATCTCCGGTATAAAAATATAACAAATTTACTTCGTCAAACATTCAAATCTTTTTTTATTGGGTTGTATTTGACAAATAAAAACTCATGGAAACAAAATGTTTTCTTCCATCAATTTAAAAGTTGTAGGTGTATGTGAATCAAACTTAATTTTTATTTTATTTGGGTGAAATTTCTACAAGAATTAATTTCTACCCCGCCCATTGGGTATAACTTCTCAATATAAATTTAAATTAGTTTTAATTAAGAAACCTAATATACAAATTTTTAAAATAATGATCCACAGTTGGAGTGATTTAGTTTTATTGATATATCAAAACATTGTACTAGGATCCAACATGTACATTTAAAGTAATTTATATATATTGAACATTGTACATTTAAAGATGCTCTTAGTAATCTAAATCATTATACGAAACAGCGAAAAAATCAAGTCCCGCCTTAAAACACCGTCTTCAAACGATAACGACAGCTTTGCGACGCGTTCCCAAGTTATTGCCGAACGCAGTGCCGATAGTATTATTTTTATTTTTAATTATTTTATTCCCATCCATGGTCTTGCCTTTGTATATTATCTTATTATCAACACGTGCAGGTACTACTTTACGACCTTTGCTAATTTCCGAACCCGGAGAAGATGGACTGCTCTCAGAAGTCACCGTCGAATGACAGCTCGTTGCTCCAGATACTAACGGTTGATCGCTTCTTCTTCTAGGTGCATTTTTCAATATGGCTCCATTTTTATCACTACTATTTAACGATTTTGTCTCGATTTTTCGTGCTACATTGCTCGATTTAGCCTGCGAATTAAAAAAAAAAAAAACATTTTTTAATGAGAAACTCGATCGAAATTTCAAGCTATAAACAAGAATTTTTTAAAGACTCGTTCGGGTACCTTGTTTCTATCCGACGAGTCGTGAATAACTCCGTGATAAAAAGACGGAAGTGGTTTGGCTTTGAAGTTTAGGCTTTTTCTAAGCAGCTTAACTTGAGCTTCTGTTTTTTCCTACAAACACCAAAATAATATAATATTATATATGTACCCGAACGAACAGAAATTATATAGAGAGTAAACGATACGAAAATATACTCGGATTCTTTAGTTGCAAATTAACAGAAAATCGAAAAGAAAAAAATTAATCATAAAAGATTTATTACCTGATTTTTTTCCTGAAGTTGGTGCATTTCAGCTTCTTTTGCATGTATTCTTTCCTCTATCTTCATATCAAACTGATTAATTAAAAGGGTCAAAAAAAATAAAAAAATAAAAACCTTGTCGACTAAATATTTATCGTAAACAGGGTTCAATTGATAGAAAATTAACTATCTTGCCTCTTTTCTTTTCTCCGCACGCTCGTTGCATTTGAAACCAAACCTAGAAGAAGTATCGTGTTTTATGCGCGTCTGAGAAATACCAACCGCAGGCTTTATCCTAAAAGACGATTTTACTTACGAGATCAGACAAACAGATAATAGCACACACGCAATATATATATACATATATATATATATATATATATATATATATATATATATATATATATATATATATATATGGGATCACTAATTTGCTTACAGAACCTGTTTTCACTTTCATGCACTCTATTCGGAACCTTCCGCAACATAGAGGATGCCGATCGAGTCTCTTCGATTCCTCTGTTTTTTGATTCTTTTTCACCCCTACAAGAAAAAGTAACTTAATGTAAAAAAAAAAAAAAAAGGTATAGCTTACGAGGCATCCCCTAAAATAACCAAAAAAATTCAGATAATTCATAA